ATATATATATATATATATATATATATATATATATATATATATATATATGTGTGTGTGTGTGTGTGTGTGTGTGTGTGTGTGTGTGAGTGTGTGTGTGTGTGTGTGCAAATATATTGATAAAATAGGGAAGAGCCGTTAGATTTATGATCCGAGGTTCATTAGTATTTTTGTTTTTATTTTTTTCAAAAAGTGCTCGATACACGAGTAGAGCCTAGATTATAATTATATTTTAAAAAAACATGATTCCATTGCTACACAGAAATTATCATGTTTCAAAAACGGAAGCTAAAAACTTCCAATTCAATTATAGAAATTAAATTAAATTAAAGTCCTTAGTTCTGTTTCATTTTTAAGCGAAGTTTGGAACAAATTATTTTGAAATTTCCGGGGCTTTATAAGCACATACCTTCATAATATTAGTTTCCATGAATATGGAGAAAAACAAACATTTTAAAAAGAGGCGGTAGGGTATTCATTTTCACTGACAACTATTGTATCAACATATTAGTTACATTCGAAAAGCGATTAAGTCAAGGTAGGGTAGGGGTGCCTTTTTTTTAAACGAATGATGACATCCGTTCAACGCATGTCATCTGGTCTTTAAGTTATTCTAAAATTCGCTTGAAAATGAAATAGAACTAGGTACTTTAATTTAATTTCTATAATTGAATTGGAAGTTTTTAGCTTCTGATTTTGAAACATGGTAATTCCTGTGTAGCGATGGAATCATTTTTTTTTAAATAATTATAATATATATATATATATATATATATATATGTGTGTGTGTATATATATATATATATATATATATATATATATATAATTTCTTTTCTGCTCGAACCAACCTTTTACGAGATGAAAGTGTTTATTTGTTTATTCTTATTTTTTTATTTTTATACTTTTGCATTAGTCTTTAAAGAATTTCTAACGATTGATTTTGTTCACGGCTGCCTGAACCAGACTTTACATGTAAAGAGGACATCCAACATTATCCCCCCTCTCTCTCCCCTCTATACATACCCAAACACAGACACTCAAAAATAAAAGAAAAAAACATAAGTTGACTAAACCAGGCCAGACGAATAATATTAGTGTAACCAGAATACATTATTATTATTATTTCATTTTATTTTATTTTTTTTACCAAGGTGGAGGTTATAAAAAAATTATCCACCCAATCGACTACTTGAAATCAGTACGTATTGCTAAGGCCAAATAACAGAATCTTGTTTTTTGGAAATCGGTCGTACCGAAAACTTTTAATCATACCCTTGTGCACCGCCTTTACTTTTTGCTGCAAAAATTAATAGGATAGCCAAGTGACTGGATTCATGGTTGCCTTGTACCCAACTTAAAGTCTCAAAATGGACACGGCCAGTTTCATAATTATGTTGGATGGTTAACAGTTTCTAAAAGTGTAGACATGGTATTTGGCACCGGAGGGCCCAAATATATCAAACTGCCAAGAACAATAGCAAAAAAACAAAAAAAAAAAAACAAAAAAAAAAATCAGAAGAATCTCGTAGAAGCCAAGTAAAGTATGAAAACTATGACCAGGTTTTTTCGTATTGCTTGTTGTATATATATTTAGAAAAATAATGTGACCAATTTGACGCGTTTCATCAGTTATAATTTCATCGAACAGGTCTTTCTTAATGTTGCCACGTCTACACAAAGCCCAGTCCGATGAAATCCTGACGAATGAAACACGTCACAAAGACTTATTTTCCAATTTGTCATAATATTTTTCTAAATACAATTTGCCGATATATAAAATTATGCAAAAATGTATATAGCGTTATATCACGCACACACACACACGCGCATATATATATATATATATATATAATTTATACAAATATAAAAATTTGTTTCTTAGCAGATTGATGTTATATTCATCAGCCTGACTCCAGAGTTTCGTAGATGAACCTTTTTGTAATCGTTCGTTCCACTCGTCAGGAGGTTTCAGCACCCGATGGGCGTTTTTTTTTTTTTTAATTTGCGTTATTTTATATTGTTTTAGAAAATTATTTATGCGCTATTTATTTGTGCTAGGATTATTATTTTTCTTGTCTGTTTGTGTGTGTGTGTGTGTGTGTGTGTGTGTGTGTGTGTGTGTGCGTGCGTGCGTGTGTGAATGCGTGTGTATGTTGCGTGTACTCGTGTTTGTGTGTGTATGTGCATAATTATATTTATATGTACACTGACAGCTTTAAACATATTTTAAACGTCATTACTTTTTTTTCACTCGATGCTGTGTATTTGTTTCATCTGTGTGCCTGTGTGCCTATGTATGTGTGTGAGAGAGAAAGTGTGTAGTGTGTATGTGTGTGTGTGAGAGAGCGAGCGAGAGTGTGTGTAGTGTGTATGTGTATGTGCGTATGTGTGTGTGTGAGAGAGAGTATGTGTTTTGTTTATGTGTGTGTGCGTGCATATGTGTGTGTGTGTGTGTGTGTGAGGGAGAGAGATTGTGTGTGTAGCGTTTATGTGTGTGTATGTGTTGGCGCACCTGGGGGATGCGGACTACTTTCTAGTTACATTGTGCACTGAGAAGAGGAATAAATAAGTAAATATATAACGGATATATTTTCAAGTCAGCTATCAAATGAATATGTTTTTACAATTTGTTTTTCATATAGCTAATAACAATATATTTAATTAAAATAATCATATTTCTCATTAAAATATTTTCATTCTAACTGAAAAATATTTTTTGAAATAATTGAAATTCTTTTTTTTTTACAGGAATTTAATTTTGTTATCTTTAAGTTACAGAAGATCCTTTCTAAAAAAAAAATAAAAAATAAAAAAAAGGGCTCGTTTAATCACTGTCTCCCGTAAGATGACCGAAGTTTAGCAACATGGAGCCTGGTCAGTACCTAGATGGGTGACCAGGAACACCAGGTGTTTTGTATGCGAGAGCCGTGTTCAAGTTCTACTCGGGGTCGTTTTATTCTCTTAGGCGCAATCATACTTAGGGGATCATGAATCGAAAAGAAAAATCTGAAAATTAAATTTTTACGTGTGAAGTGAAAAACAATTTCGTGTTAGAAAAATGATGAACACAACAATTTTTCGTCTTAGAAAACAACAAGATCCTGATGACGACAGTGTGCTAATGTCGAAAGTACTCGGAATAAAATTAATATGCATCAACATGGTAATTTTCTCTCTTTCTTTGATAAGGATACTAAGAAGCTTGCCCGTGAATATGAGAGGATCCTATTGAAAATAAGTAGACAAAACTTGTCTAAATTATTTCATTGGACATGTCTTAATGAAAACATGCTGCCAAAATATACACAACGAGCAGCATGGCCCGGCGTTGCCCGTGCCTTGATTCAAAAATCGTACGACTCATACAGCAATCGCTATCACTTGACTTAAAATATTTTTGCCCTTGCTTGGGTTTAAAGGAATGCCCTTTGCCATGCTGATGTTGCTATATGCCTTACTTCTTGCCTATCTCACACTCGAATTTTGTCTAAGCTCTATACTAAACATTAAATCTGTTACGAAAAAAGAACTAAACAAAATGAACACAAAACGATCAGCTTTAAAAAAGGACTCGTAACTGGAAAAACCGAATGAAAAAAGAATGTTAACAAAAATACTTTTTCACACCCATCCAAGTTCCGCGAAATCAGAATCAACGTTAGAGTTTAAGCAAGCGAATGAGCCAATTGGAGTAAAGTGCCATGCAGATTTAAATTTTTCCCACTTGTGACGAATGCAGCTATCGATTTTTTTGTATGCTAGCATGCTAGTTAACATTCGTGTCAGTCAGCTGTTGGCTCTCACGCTGTCCAATAGAATCTTCCTGCCTATTCGTGGCAGCCAACTATTGGCTCTCACTATGGCCAGTAGAAAATGGCCGCAAACTACATGAAAACTGCCGTAGAAGCATGAAAGAATCGATTATTTCCACTATTGATTGGAGTTGGGAAATGCAAAGTAGGTCTTGGTCTTTCCGCTAACTTGGAGCATGTGCATGTAAATTTTGGTGCAAATCCGTCGAAAATTGCGGCCGTGCATTCGTTACACACACACACACACACACACACACACACACACACACACATCCTTTTTTTTTATATATATATATATATATATATATATATATATATATATATATCAAATAAAATATTGTTCTACCCACTAACTATATCACAAATACAATAGAAAATAATTTATTTAAATTTAACATAGAATTTGTCACAACTCCATCTAAAACAAAGATTTAATCGATACAAAAATAACTTGAAGGGTGAATTTACTTTATCTCCCACAATGATTGCCAGAAATAATATACTGGAGAAACCTCAAGAAGTTTAAATAAAAGATTATATGAACACAAAAGAGACATTTGAAAAAACAATACATTAAAACATTCGTTGCTCATCGTAACGAGACTGTCCTGAATTTTGACATAAGAAGCTACTCAAATTAAGAGAAAATAATTCACCGAGACGAAAATGTTTAGAAAGTGTTTTAATCACTGTAAATTTGCGTCCATCTTAAAACGTTTCACCATTCTTAGCAGATCTGAATGTGGTTTATTTAATAACAACGGTGATGGAAGCAAAAAGTAAAAGAAATTAAAGGAAATTAGCTAGATTATATACCCAAAACAAATAAAAAAAAACAATGTTTTTTTCTAAATTTAGAATTCCAAGTGTCTCCTGTTTGCGCGCATGTGTAGTCGCATCAACGTAAATAAAACGCAGTCTGATGAAGACCCAAGGGATGAAATGTGTCACATGCAAATTTTTTTCCACATCTTTCCTCCCAAACTGTTCTCGATATATAAAAATTTATACAGCGTTATCCCATATATATATATATATATATATATATATATATATATATATATATATATATGTGTGTGTGTGTGTGTGTGTGTATGTGTGTGTGTGTGTGTGGTTAAAATAACTCAGTTCTTAGAACGGAACAGCCAGTTGCGTCCAAACACCGGATTTGATTTATGTGGTGAAAGTTTTATGAACGTTTTCTTTATGTATGAAAGTCTTTTTTCATCTATCTATCTATCTATCTATCTATCTATCTATCTATCTATCTATCTATCTATCTATCTAAGGCTGTTCATATCTATCTATCTATCTATCTATCTATCTATCTATCTCATTCGCGTGCATCTGTAGTCGCATCAACGTAAACAAACCCATTCCGATGAAGACCCAATGGATGAAACGCGTCACACGAAAACCTTTTTCCACTTTGTCATATATCTTTCCTCCAGAACTGTTCTTGATATATAAAAAATTATATGCCTTTTTCCCATATATATATGATCCGGGCTTGAAGCATTCGGATGTCTAGCCGCACTGAGGAGCTGTGATGCAGCGAAACAGTACTATTTGCGAATGACATAATTTAAATCTTGAAAATATATTTCAATTGGGCACTGTTGAGTGATAGGCTAATTCTATAAACAACAGCCACCTGTGTTAATGCAAAGCTCTTCCGTAAAATGAATTGGAGCACTCCGGCTGATTGGCATTTGCTTACATTCATAAAAACAATACGCTAGATTTAGCTGTTTCTCTCTGTCGAATGAAGATAGCTGAGTAGTAGAAACTCTCACTGGCACCAAATCCGTTGGGTTTCGAACCGGCCTTGAGGCATTCAGATGTCTAATTGCACTGAGGAGCTGTGATACAGCGAAACACAATACTATCTGCGAATGACATTATATATATATATATATATATATATATATATATATATATATATATGGGGGAGGGCTTGGTACAATAACTCAGAAGCAAACGAGTTCAGTCCATTGGATTTGATCGATGTCGTGATGGTTTTATGAACGTTTTGTTTATGTATGAAAGTCTTTTCATATCTATCTATCTATCTATCTATCTATCTATCTATCTATCTCAATGTCTGCATTATCTATCTATCTATCTATCTATCTATCTATCTATTTCATTTCATTCGCGATCATGTGTAGTCGCATCAACGTAAAACCTTTTTCCACTTCTTTATATATCTTTCTTCCAGAACTGTTCTTGATATAAAAAATTATATATCGTTATCCCATATATGTCCAAACAAAAAGAGTCGACAAGGTCTGTCTGTTTAATAAATTTCACAGGGTTAAGCAGCATTTTGTTGAAAAATCTCCAGTTTATTTGCGTCTTCCCTTTCTTGGTACAGAGGATGAGACTTTATCTAGGCGAATTTCGGGTATAATTAATAGCTGTTATTTTTCGGCTAATGTTCGGGTAATATTTGTTACCCGTGCTGTTCTCTCTTCGATTCGTACGGACGTCCTCCTTCCCCCATCATGTTAATTCAGTGATTTATCAATATAAGTGTAGTTGTGGACTCGGCTACATAGCGAGGACGTCCCAGCGTTTGAATTTGAGAATAAAACAGCAATTACCCAGCCAGGATTTTGAATCCGGATGCCAGAAAAAGCCAACTAACCAATACTTCTGGCTCTGCTATTGCTGAGCATGTAATAAATAGCAGGAATTTTGTGGCTGATTTTAGTGGTGACCGTTTTTCGATTTTATCTAGGTCCCACTCCACATATCACCTCAAGGTTCTAGAGTCCTTGTATATCAGATCCCGTTGGGCTTCCCTCTGTAAACAGAGGGAATGCTTACTGGGACTGAATGTTATTGGACTTTAGTTTCTTGAAATTCATATTTTCCCCTTCCATTCGTTATATTCATTTAATTTACATTTTACACGCTTATATATTTTTTAAAATCCTGAAAAATAAACTTGATAAGTCATGTGACGAAACCGGTTGTTCTATTTTAGCATTTTTAAAAATGCCATATAAATTAAAAACTTTTTTCCAGCTATATATATATATATATATATAAATATATATATATATATATATATACATACATATATATATATATATATATATATATATATATATATATATACATGAATTATTCACACAAAAACTAATGCAAAGGTTAATGAAAAAAACAAGAACAACATCTATTCTATACCTGAAGATGTCTGTAGAAACAGACGAAAGCTTGTAGTAAAATAAGAACTAATACGGCAGAAATTTATATAAACAAGGATCATTTTATTCATAACGGATACGGAGGTTCTTGTATATTATTTGAATTGTTTGCGATGATGGATGTCTCGCCATTTAAATCATTAACCTTTGCATTAGTTTTTGTGTGAATAGTTCATGTATTTGTAAATTGATTGCACGTTTATATATATATATATATATATATATATATATATATATATATATATATCCTTAGGTAATAATTTCATGAGAGCTCTAAAAACAGCCTCTATGGCCTTGGATGGCAACTGGTGTAGGAAAAGGACAACTCTGAATTCAAAACCTGCAGAAGGTCTTTTGGGGACCTTGTGGTCTCTGTATTGGGTCCTTCAGAAAGTGTCGTTGGTTCTGCACAAAACCTTCATCACTAGAATCATATCATATGTGCTGGTGTCTGAGCTGCTTGACCCACGTATGTC